TTGAAAAAGTTAGAGAAGATGAATTTTGTGTTGATGTAACATTAAAAGATGAAAAAAAAATAGTGAAACGAATACCATATGAACAAATAAGCAAATATGTTCAATTATAAGAAAAGAAAATAAAATATTATTTTGTAAATAATCATTTTTGTAATTAATTATTTCCTTTCTCATTCTTGAAGGTAATAAGTGTTTAACCAAATATATAACTATTGAAAGTAATACAAAAAAAATTTAAAAAACTTACACAAATTTTATTTGATATATATTTATGCACTAATATTTATTTAAAATAAATTTTACATTATAACTGCTCAGGTTTCAATAAACTATTAAATTCATTGTGCATTTTAAAATGATCTTCAAATAAAAGGAGTTCGCCAATTTTGAATCTTTTGCAATAAAAATAGCTTGTACTTGTGGAAATTCATAAAATTCATTAGTAAATGGAATTTTACCAATGAATATTGCTCTATATGTTTTTGTATTTTCATTGTGGTAAATTCTTATGACATGTCTACCTCTGACACCAGTCGTCATTAGCAGAAGAGCCGCACTTACAAATAGAGTAAGCCCCACGTGGCCGGCGGCCACGTCACACCACTCACCAGTAGCGCCAGTCACTATTAAATGATTTATTAAGCATTTATTAAATGATTTTTTTTATAAGAATGGAATTTTAATTTAAATTTTTTTATTAAAAATAATAAAAATAAAACTATATAACTTGAATAAAAAAATATAGTAAAATGTTCTACGTTTAAATGATTTTGGTGAATTTCACCAAGGTATTTTTTTTATCATTAATTGACTAATAAAAATCTAATCATCCCTCAATCTACTCAATGATAATTTTCTTTTTTGTTTCAAAACTTTAAACATACTTACATAATATTAAACGTTATTGCTTCAACACAATTAGTGGCACAGGCGACTGCAGGATCGTCGGCTACTTGTTCTATTTTATCCATTAATATGGAGTGGCCAACCTTTCAATACAAATAATTCGGATTAACGTGTCAGTTTTGGATGTTTAAAAAAAATATCCACTTAGCTGGTTCATAAAAATTACTCTTAAAGTTAAAAAAGCAAGCATTTTCTCGACTAATTTAAAACTCGTTCAATTCACTCTAATTGTTCATATTGAAAGGCTGAGCAATGGGCACAGGCCTACTTTATTAATACTTCTAATTTGGCTCGCATGCGCTATGAAACTGCATATAAATTTGAATGTATCAAATACTTATGATATTTAAAAAATTGAGTATTAAATATTGATTTCATTTTCCATACAGAAGTTTGCTTTAAACACATTTGACGACAATGATGATTTTCAATCAACCTTTCTACTGTAAATAACACGATAATTTACTTTTTTCACATGATTTAAGAGGAGTATTTTTGGACGAAGTAGGCTTATTTACAAAATTCAGACACATGATGAATATATGGTAGAAAAAAATAACAAGATGAAAAGTAGGAGACCAAATTTTTCAGTTTTATGAATTTTTATTTCTTTTGAATATTTACAAAATATTTACAAATATTTACAAATATTGGCATTTCATTCGCAGATGATGAAAAACAAGGTAGTCTATTATATACAACTGCAGATTTGAATCCAAATGTCAAATTACTCAGATCATACAACATCATCAAAGTACAATAAACTGTTTGAATTTGATAAAATGATTTATAAGCTTACGCTAGAATTATCACTTTTGTATGATGCTTCATTTCTTCTTTTGAATTTTTTAGTTGGTAGATCACTGCGATCTGTACAATTTTCTTTTTGCTCTGGCAAAATTTCTCTCGCTCTTTTTTCTGTACATCTAGAAGAACTTGGAGTAGTATCTATGAAAAAACCTAAATTAATGGTATTTTGGTTTCCATCAGATAAATTAGCATGTTTTACATCGCTTTTGTTTGAATTTACATGCTCCTTTGTGGAATTTTTTGTTTGGTTTTGAGGTGATGGTAAAACTAATGAAGTATGTAAGTATGCAGTTGAAATATCTACAATCGAACCAGTAGAACTGTTGCCTCTGGTTTGATCAGATGAAAAACGATTCAAATGCGCAAGATTGGTTTGTGATCTTTTTATGAGATCAAAAGGATCATCGATTCCAAGTTTTTCACATAAAACAGTAGTTTGACGGTTGATGACCAAAATAGGTGGCTGAGCAAATCCTGTAGGATACTCAGTGTGCTGGAATGGCCTTACAGTTTGTTGAAAGTTTTGTGGCACGCTCAAGTCATTATTAAATTTTTCAAGAATCGTTTCCTTTTGTTCTTTAGTTGGTGTAAAATTTTGTGATTCAGGCAAATAACACCAGGCATCTCTAACACTTAATAAATTATTCGTCAAGAATAATATAGTGAGCCACTCGATATCATAGGAAATTGTAAGAGGTAAACTTTGATCATGCTCTATGTCTATGAATTCAAAATAATCTCTTTCTTTTACTTGACGAGGTCTGTAACTTCTTCTATTGCCTTCACAGTAATCTCCACATTTATCCAATGACATAAATTGTGTTGTTTTAGTTTTATCTTCATTACAAATAGTTGCCTCAAATTTACAGTGCAAATGAGCAGCGAACCATTTTGATGGATGAAGTTTTTTCATTACTTCATCCAACAGTGGGCTTCCAAGCTGTTTTCTTGATATATCTTCTTTGAAAAATGGCTTCATCCTCAATAGTTTATTCAGATCACCATGATTGGTTATTTCTGAAGGCCAGTCATGAGAGAGAAATATGTCTAGTTTCCCTGAAAGCTGCTTCAATCTAAAGACTTCTAGCCTTCTGGTATAATATGAACTTCTCATTGTACTGTGATTGTAAGGAGGATACTCGTAATGTCCTTTCATGTAGCTTTGATTTCTGCATGCATCTTGTTTGTTGTAAATTCCGGATATACCTCCAATCCGTACACCAGCAATATTGATAACTGAAGCGTAACCCAAGTAATATATATTAGGAGCGACCCAACCACCATATGCTAGTTCTTGAAGGTAGTTGGAGGCTTCATGATTGCCACCGATGAAAATAGTTAAAACTGGGGCTACTGCTTCTCCTGAATAATACTTGTAGAATGACCCCTTGCTTTTAAACTTATCCGGCACAGCCATGCATCCAAGATCTTGTTTATTCCTGACTGATTGAAAATCACCACAGCATAAAATCAAATCAACTTTCTTACCGGAATCTCTGCATTTTTTATAGATTCGATCAAGCTCGCCATGAGCACAACCTACAATTGCAATCCTCATTTTTGAGCTGGTTGCTTTGGTTGGTGGATGAAACTAGTCGTGATTGGCGTCGATGCTGAGTGTTTTAGTTAAATTAAACTATTCGTGACTGCTGTCGATTCTGTGATAGTGTGATGTGTATTGTGTACGGTAACTCTGTCGGACAGACACTGAAGAATCTAATGACGTAGGCAGCTTGAGCGTTACTCGTTAGTCTACTGCTGTCTGCTACAGTACACCGACACGCCATTACGCGTCCGCGACCACGTTGTCGTTGAGTTCGGTTTTGGTCGCGCATGTCTCACTGCGCATGTGGGAACATAGAGAGAAGAACTGAGAAGAGCGGAAAAAATCGAATTTAAGTTTATTCATAATTACACTAAGTGACATTATTGTCACTCAGTCTTCACAAAATATATGCGTAATTTTCTGAACGTTTTGATGTTTTTAAAACTTTGTTGTTTTATAGATACGAATATCATTTTTATGACGTAAATGATAAAAAAAACTGAATATATTATACGCTTAAAACAATACAATGGGCTGTATACATACGTGTTATTACAGTTATTAATGTATTTTAACATTTTTAATTTTGCATTGCAATTAAAGCTTGACTAAAACAATTTTTTTTCATAAATTGATAATTTATTATATATAAATTAATAATAATCATGTCATTCATGGATTNAATGACCCCTTGCTTTTAAACTTATCCGGCACGGCCATGCATCCAAGATCTTGTTCATTCCTGACTGATTGAAAATCACCACAGCATAAAATCAAATCAACTTTCTTGCCGGAAAATCTGCATTTTTTATAGATTCGATCAAGCTCGCCATGAGCACAACCTACGATTGCAATCCTCATTTTTAAGCTGGTTGCTTTGAGTTTGTTGATGAAACTAGTCGTGATTGGCGTCGATGCTGTGAGTTTTATTTAAATTGAACTATTCGTGACTGCTGTCGATGCAAAGATGTGTACGGTACCTCTGTCAGACAGATACTGAAGAAACTGATGACGTAGGCAGCTTGAGCGTTACTCGTTAGTCTACTGCTGTCTGCTACAGTACACCGTACACTTCAGATCAGTTTTGGTCGCGCATGTCGCACTGCGCACGTGGGAACATGGAGAGGAAAAGAGCGGAAAAAACCAAATTTAAGTTTATTCGTAATCACACCAATTGACATTATTGGCACGCAGTACTCACAAAACAGATGCGTAATTTTCTGAAAGTTTTTTTAAAACTTAATAGTTTAGAATTAATATTATTTAATAGATACGACTATCATTTTAATGAAGTAAATGATAAAAAAACTGAATTCATTATATATGCTAAAAGCAAATGAATGGGCTGCATACATACATGCAATTACAGTTATTAAAGTACTTTAACATTTTTACTTTGCATTGTGATTAAAGCATGACTAAAACAATTTTTTTTTTCATAAATTAATAATTTATTATATAAATAAATTAATCATAATCGTGGCCTTCATGGATTTTGATGTTTTCTTTTGAAAAATCTGCCAAATGTTTGATATTATAGAAGTATGTTTAAAGTTTTGAAACAAAAAAGAAAATTATCATTGAGTAGATTGAGGGATGATTAGATTTTTATTAGTCAATTAATAATTAAAAAACGCCTTGGCGAAATTCACCAAAATCATTTATACGTTTAACATTTTACTGTATTTTTTTATTCGAGTTATATAGTTTTATTTTTATTATTTTTAATAAAAAAATTTAAATTAAAATTCCATTCTTATAAAAAAAATCATTTAATAAATGCTTGTTTGATAATACTTATATATCAGTATGAAATTGTTTTCAAATGATACTTATGGTTCAGACTTAAATTTTATGTTTAAATTTTTATATTAAATTTTAGCAGCAACACGCATTCAAAAACTGCGCGCTTTTGGATAGCAGCGCCATCTCCAACTATTGGTGACGGGCGCACACTCATGACTCAGCACACCACACGAGCATACGGCCGGCCACGTCGAGTCGAGGCAGCTAGTCTTCTGCTCCCAGAAACTAGTGTTTCGTCATTCATTCGCAGACTTTGAAAGTGAACACACGCACCTAATCGCTCCTGAGTTTAGTCTTCTGAGTTTTGATCATCTAAGTAGTGAACCTGCGTAGACGTAAATAGTTAGCCACGTGTGANGTAGCCATGAACACATGTGCGACGAGGAACTAATTCGTTTGTGCGAAGAAACGGATGAAGAGAAACTAGAACGCACAATATTGCCAATGCCAAAGCGAAGACGTCTGTGTTAAAAAAAAAGGAGCAATACAACGGAGAGATGAAAAAGTTAGAGAAGATGAATTTTGTGTCGATGTAACATTAAAAGATGAAAAAAAAACTAGTGAAACGAATACCATATGAACAAATAAGCAAATATGTTCAATTACAAGAAAAAAAATAAAATATTATTTTGTAAATAATCATTTGTGTAATAAATTATTTCCTTTCTCACTCTTAAAGCTAATAAGTGTTTTACCAAATATATAACTATTGAAAGTAATAAAAAAAAAAAATTAAAGAAATTTACACAAATTTTATTTAATATATATTTATGCACTAATATTTATTAAAAATAAATTTTTCATTATAACTGCCCAGGTTTCAATAAACTATTAAAGTCATTGTGCGTTTTAAAATTATCTTCAAATAAAAGGATTTTTTCTTATTGATTTTGAGTTAAGAATTTCGCCAAGGAAAATTTGAATCTTTCACAACAAAAATAGCTTGTCCTTGTGGATATTCATAAAATTCATTAGTAAATGGAATTTTACCAATGAATATTGCTCTATATGTTTTTGTATTTTCATTGTGGTAAATTCTTATAACATATCTACCTTTGACAACAGTCGTCATTACCATAAGAGCAGCACTTACAAATAGAATAAGTCCCAATTTCCATTAGATTTTTATTAGTCAATTAATTATAAAAAAAATACCTAGGCGAAATTCACCAAAATTATTTATGAGTGGAACATTTTACTAAATTTTTTTATTCAAGTTATATAGTTTAATTTTTATTATTTTTAATAAAAAAATGAAAATTCCATTCTTATAAAAAAAATCATTGAATAAATGCTGGCTTGATAATATTATTATCAGTATATTTTTATTTTATACTTATGATTCAGACTTAAATTTTATGTAAGCAGCAACACGCATTCAAAAACTGCGCGCTTTTGGATAGCAGCGCCATCTCCAACTATTGGTGACGGGCGCACACTCAGCACACCACACACACATACGGCCGGCCACGTCGAGTCGTGCCAGCTAGTCTTCTGCTCCCAGAAACTCGTGTTTCGTCATTCATTCGCAGCCTTTGAAAGTGAACACACGCACCTAATCGCTCCTGAGTTTAGTCTTCTGAGTTCTGATTATCTAAGTAGTGAACCTGCGTAGACGTAAATAGTTAGCCACGTGTGATTTGCGAAGTGAATACTGCGTGTTGCTTTGTTATTCTTTAAAAGTGTGTTATACACCAACAATTACAAAGTGACATAACCTATTTTGCATCCAAATAAAAATGGAATTCGTATCCGACCACGTGTTGGAGGGTAGCAGCAGTCGTGGTGGTTTCATCAAATCTCATAAGGATGCTCTCAAGGAAGTTAAAATGTCACGTGCGTCAAAACTTTCTCAAGCCGAGTATCTGAAAAAGTATTTGTCAAAANTGTTCCAGACAAAGAATTTAGTGGAACAGATAGAACTGGAAGTGCAAGGTCTGGATCAGTTCAGTTTGAAAAAGAAGAAGAAGTTCCATTTGGTTTGAGTACATTTTTAAAACAAGCCAAAGGAGCCAGTAGCAGTGGAACTTCTTCTAAAAGGAAAGATGGTGATAGAGATAAACGAGATAGTAAAAAAAGAAAACATTATAAAATCGGCAATAAGATTTTAATGTAAATACTATAAAATAATCGAATAAAAAAAATTATTTTCATAAGTCTGTTCTATTTCATTTTTTTACCTTTATTGAAATTTTCAGTCATTTATAATTTTTAGCAAATGTTACATCTAAAGTAGATTGTAATCTATTAGCATCTTTTTTGCGAGAAAACATTACTGATTTAAGCTTGTAATATATGCACATTAGCATTATAAACAGCGGACTTTAAAAACAAGTTTCAAAATAATAAAAAAAAAAGCATAATTGCAACTATCACAGCTATTTTCACTCATGATTTTAAAACTCTAAATGCACCAGACATTAAATCAATATTACAAATCTTATCTGGAGTAAACGTTGAAATTACCTATTTAATATTTAATAAGTAGTGTAAATAATATGCATACAATTATTAAAATTATCTTTTTTAAAGAATCATAATTATTTTTTGTTATTCAATGAGTCAGTTTTGTCATTCCCAAAAAATAAACATAAAAATATTTGATTTTGCATGAATTAATAATGTAGTTCATATTGTTATTTTTTGGGCTGTTTTAAAATTTACTGCAAATCAAAAACAACTTGGGCACTGATATTTCAGATTCAGGTAAGATTGATATTCTTGTTAAAAAATTCTTTCTGACTTACTTTCATTTTTATTGACTCAAAGCAGTTTACCAAAAAAATATTCAGCAGTTATCTCAAAAAACGTGACTTACTTCACCTGTTATTACTTAAATAAAAACCATTGCGTTTAATTACGAGGAGAATCAATATTTCCAATCATTCTCCACGTTATAAAAAGTGTCTTAGTTTACTTAGTGATGCAATGAAAGCCTGATTTTAAAGTAGTTTGATTTTTTGACATTTATCTAGCAGTTCAACATTTACTTTTAAAAAGTACACAATTCAAGGATCACAATTTCAGGGTAATCAGCATTAGAAAACTAGAAAGAATTTAGTTAAGTCTTTTTTATTTTTATAAATATATAATATTTTACATTTTTTTTGTTTCTACAAGAATATAACTTGCTGCAAATGAAAATTGTTTTTTGAGTAATATTATATTTTTATACTTAAGTATCATTTGTACTTGTATTTTCAAATAATGATTCTTAAATTATTTGAAATAAAATTATCGCTTTATAGGCATCAATTGTTTATATTATTTAGGCACATATCACACATTATCTCTATACATACTCACACCAATCTGCATTATTACATGCATATTATGATTGTTTTTTAACTTAAACAAAGTACCCTTTGTACACCATGTTATGTCTTCTAAAGAACTTCTTCAGGGATTATCAACCCAAGAGTGCCTTAGAAAAATAGATCAATTAACATAATTTTATAAATTCAAATTTGTCGATTGTTAAAATTAATTACCTGTACTTCAAAGAAGTACTATATTGTTGTTATTTGCTGTACTTCCAACAACCAAAACTTTAACAACTTTTTTGGCGCATTTATCAAGAGCCTCTCTCCTCGAACTTTGAAAATTTTAATATTAGCAGCAAGAACATCTTGACGTTACATCCCTTGTTTTTGTGGCATGGAGTCTACTAAAGATCCAGCATCAGCATCTGGGAAAGCTGGCTTTGGATCAGCAGTTTTTAATACATCTGAAAATTTATAATAATAATATAGTATCAAGAAAATAATGAGAAAAATTGTAATTTTATGTTTTAAAGTATTTCATTTTTCTAACTTTTAAGTAAGAGAAGTGCAAGATCCTGCAGTTCCATAACACAACAACTCCTTTAAGAATATCTATCATTCACTGAATGGCAAGTAGTCTCAGATCAATCGTTTGGTTTTAGTCAAGTATATTGAACCAGCAGCCGAATGATACAACAGGAAGTAAGCTCTCCGCAGCAGCAGCTACAACAACAACAGTGATTGGTTTGACCTGTAATCGAGTAATTGATATAAAAATTTTACTCTGATATTTGGTTTTTAATAATGTTTCACTAACATCCTATTCATTTTAACATTAGCATAACGTTTTAATAAAAACGATATAACTGATCAAATAACTTGATGTATACAATGTTACATATTATTTAAATTTATAAATGAGTCGTCAAATTACAGCATTTTGTCATTGATAAGTTTGGTACAAAATTTTACTTTTAACCATGGATTAAACTACATAATAAGGCTTGATCTATTTTTCACTAGATCGTAAATAAAAAATTCAACAGTAAAACGTATTATTCTTATGATAAGTAAATAGTAAAACTTATTCTCTTAAAGTTTGTTCACTTGATAAATAATAAAATTTTTGAAACAAACCTTGGAGAGTTTACACAAATCATCTTTTCCCGTTATGAAATTTATCCTTTCAGCTTCCAACTGACCAGTTGACCAGGTTGTCTAACTTCTGTCAAGTTGTTTTAGATCGATGAAGTTTAATATCACTTTTCAGCTATAATAATGAAATGAGCTTTGATATTTATACACGTATTTATTTAATCGCACATAACCTGACACATGACACATTCATTATTATTTGTATTAACGCGTGTATCTTCGTGACCATTTGAAAGAGTTTCAAATTCTTTATCAAATTCATTGATAAAATTCTCACTCGAAATGTTTCTGTTACATGCCGATCTCTCAAAATACATCTGAAGTATCTTAAGCACAAGCTTGGCTAACAGTAGATGAAAATAAGATAATGAGATTGAAACATGAGATCTTGAAATTTCGTGGTTCGGCGACCGTCAGATTTTTTTTCTCTGCTGCTTTTGGCATCGCTGGAGTGCTGCGCTCTGTTATACATCGCTCAAAACGAGCACGCGCGTTTTATCCTCCTTGACGTTGTACTGTGCTGTGTTAAATTATTATACATATTTTGTAATTCTCTTTAAACTGTAATAATGTAAAATTAGTTGTCTTCGCACAGATGATCCTATCTCGAATTATTCCCAATTTTCGTATGACTTTTCGTAGCCAGAGCAGCAGCCGCTCGTGCAGTGCAAACGTAACGCTTAACATCGTCGTCGCGCAGCTTTAAGATCGACATACGCTAAGAAAGCTTAGACTATTTTCAGCCTTACTCTCGCCTCTCTCACAGTTGCTGCTACATAGATGCCAAGTGCGCAAGCTTCGCTGCGACTGTCCGATAAAATATACAAAGGCCCTGCTGCACCTTACGCCTAGCGAAAACTCTCGCAAAAACATCATCGACTCGTAACAGTCATGGCGCCAATGTAGCGTGATCTTTAAGTACCGAACGGTTGCTTCATTATCATCGATCATGTGTATGTACACAAACCTAGTTTACATCGCGGCGAAAGCTCGAAAAGCTGCGAGCGAGCTTATGCAGTTGTCGTGCCGGCAACGGCGGGCTTTTTCGAATCTTGCATTACTAACTTACTAGAAAGGCATAAAGTAAAGATTTGTGGTAAGTTGCATACGCCGGATGAGCAATGTGTAATTTGATATAAAAAATGAAAATGCGGTATGAGTAAGTAAAGATGAAAACAAAACTCATGCGTTGTCAAGTCGGACATATCGTAACTGCAAGGGCGGTTCTTTTGCCATACGAAAGACGGCTGCCGAGTGCTGCTAACTGCTGCCACCGCTCTACAGTGTGTAAATAATTTTCGAAAAAAAATTCAAGGGGGCGACACGGTGCGCGTTCGCATAGTCGCCGTAGCCCGTAGCATATACAACATGCGATATATATATGAACACACATACACATAGGCTACGAGGGTTTGTCTGTGTATGCACCGCAGTCAAGTCGCTATCACACACACAAAACACACATCACACACACACACACACACATAGCAGTTTTGCGTAAACGAATCGCGCGCAGTGCACACGGACACGATCGTCGTCGTCGTCGTCGTAGCGGACGCGCCTCATGCAAGCCTCGCGCGTTTGTTCGTCCGTTCGTTCGCTCGTACCCGATATATAATATACACATATATAGCGCGGCGCAGTATACTTATATCGGAGCGCAGGGAGCCAACGACGTTTTTAGGTGAATTTGCACGTAGCCAACGTACACACGATATTTGCCGCGTACGTGTGTGCGCTTTTTTACTCACACACACACACACACACACGCGCGCGCGCGCATACGAGAGCGAGTGAGTGCAAGTGCGAGCTGCGAACTGCAAAGAGGAAAAAAAAAAGACAAAAACGGAGCAACATCGGTCGAGGCGAGAGTTGGACGGACAGCTCGATATGATGAACGGCTGCTCGTTGTCGTCGTCGTTGTAAATTACAAGCGAGCAACCGAGTGCAGCAGCAGTTGCAGCAGCTTCGCGACCGTATATTACGCATATTTTATTATTCTCGCGCGCGTGTGTGCGTGTGTTGTGCATCTCTTCCCAACTGCAGGCCTGCCTGCGAGTCGCGACTGCGAGCGGCAATTCGGCAACGCGACCACGACCAACATACAGAAATTGCACTAAGCCGAGTAGAAGCGGCGCAGCTGCCTGCCCGCCGTTGCCGCTGCCATCACCGAACGACCGCCGCCACCGCGCGCCGCAAAACTCTGACCGAGCAGCGTATACGGAGCAGCAGCAGCAGAATTTTGCGAATCGCCGTGCGGCGCCGCCGACTCGCTGCTGCGCCTGCAATCGAGAGTCATCGCGGACGACGAGAGACGTTTCAACACGCAATATTATACCACAGTACAGAGAGCTATATTTTTCCTATATGGATTGTTAAGCAACGCGCTATTTAAGCTTATTCATTGTCCTGTGTCCAATAATACATTGCAGTGCTCCTTGGGTTATATCCTCGCCTCCACCACGACGGATTCTCTTGCTGTGTGTGTGGCGCATAAAGAGAGAGACGAACGACTTTATACAACACTAGCAGCCCAAAGTTCACGTATCTAATAGGTATCGCGCCTATATAGCCTGCACATTTCGCATCGGTGGAGGCACCCCGTCGACCGCAACTACAGTCGTTGTTCTTGCACCTCTGCTCTGGCACGTCGTCTACTTGCATCGTGGCCGATCTCAAACGACACCTTGGTCGCATACAACTCGCCCCCGAAGTGCGCTTAGACATAGTCGACTTGCAGTGTGCATTGTGTCCTTAAAGCTTCGACCATGTCGTGAGCTCTCGCGCTCTCTCGACTACATATAGAGATCTCTCTCTGTGACTCGTGTGCCCGAGTGTGCGTGCACGTACGTGTGTGCTGCAGAGTGTGTGCGTGTTGCGAATCAGTCAGTGTGTGCACTGTCTGCCAGAAGAGTGGAGTAGCCGTGCGAAGCCAGAAGAGCGTCTACCACCGGGAGCAGCATTAGCAACAGAAACGGCAGCAGCAGACAGGTTATAAAAAAGGAGCTCGCAGACGTGTTTATTTTATATAGTGCATCGCGCGAATGTCGCAACGGCGCGTCCGCTAAAGCAGCATAGCATAGCATCGAGAGAGAGAGAGAGAGAGAGAGAGAGAGAGAGAGAAAGAACTAAACTCTGCACGAAGAGTAGAAGCAGCAGCAGCATTAGCAATAGCAAAGCTGCGGCAGCCCACCGCACACACAGTGAAGCATATTATATACGCACACACATCCGGCGCGCGGCGCCCAGAGGCTAAAACAAGAGTGGCCCAAAGAGATCGGACGGAGATACATACGCACACAGTGAGCTGTATATAGGCGCATCTTTTCGACTGCACTTTTGCCCGCTCGACGTCCGCGCGACGACATTTCCATTATTCTCGTTGCAGCACGGAGACCACCTCTCTCTCTCTTTCGCTCTGTCTGCGTTATACTGCACTATCTGCAAGTTTACGTGCTAGCGAGCGCGCGACTGCGATGACCAAGTCCGACTCGCCGATGATCCTGGCGACGCGCCTCACCGACTCGTACGGTTCGTACCGCACCATCTGCAACGGCTTGTTTTCCTGCTGAAGCGTAATCGTGCTTTCGTGCTGTGCCCGTCTACAACGATTTTTTTGACACGTGCGTCAGTGTGTGTGTGTGTGTGTGTGTATGTGTGATAAGGTGTGTGATGGGTGCTCGAGCTCAGTGACTCTGTCTCGTTGACACCTCGGTTGTGTTTCAACATTCCTAGTGCTACATCGGACAAGTGTATGCAGCTTGTACTCCATCAGTGTTTCTTCTTGTGAGTGTTCATGTGAATTTTCCTACTCCAGAATCAAGACCAGTAAAGCAGCTTGCTCATTGAATAATCATCTGTCATTTTTTTCTGGAGGCATGGGCCCCAGCTAACACTTGGCCATCAGTCGAAGAGTGAGGCAAGACTACAATTGTCACACAAGCTTAGCTATCCAGTGCCTCCCTCTTATCATCCCCCCTTGTGAGAAAAACCCAACATGTCCCAGACGACAACATTTGTGGATCGGATAGATCCTTTTGCTAAACGATCACTCAAAAAGAAGTCCAAAAAGTCACAGGGCTCTTCTTGTTATCGCAACTCGGTTGATGTCGAGCTGCAGCAGCTCCCACAACTCAAAGGTCAGTACAACAGCCATAATTGTTTTCCTATAAAATTTCTCTTTTGCCCATCTTGTTACCAAAATTAGACTCCATCTTACCATTTTTTTATTTTTATTTCACCACTCATTTATTTATGGGCAGCAGGGCCCTTTATAGTAAGCTAGTAATTGAAAATTCCATACATTTGTAAAACTACACTGTAGTCGCTATGTTGAGGATAATTGAAAAATTATGTCTGCATTTGCATTTAATGCGATTTTATCATCAAGTCATTTTTGTCAACAAAAGCTTGACAAAAACTTTCATTGTAATTCAATTCTGTAAATTGCAAACTAAAGTTAATACGATTATGTTATTATTAAGAATATTTAGTCAAAGTATAATAAATACTTGTTTAATTTGCTTATGCTATTTGAATATTAAATGAATACTTAAAATTGCATCAATTACTGAATAAGAAAGTTATCTTTACAGTAAAATTATTCATTTCATAAATATATTGTTTCAAAATGAGAAATTTTTCCAAAACAACAAAAATATGTTTGAAATATGCAGAAAAACAATAGGTAATTAAAAGAAAACAACATTGTACTTCTAGAACATAAACTGAAATAACTACATAAATGAACTATGTTGATACAGATCAATATTGGTGCTATATACAAAAAAATAATGATAATAAATAAAAAATTTAGAGCCTAACACATAACTGAAACTTTTTTATATTGAAAATTTTTTACAAGATATAAATACCGAAATTCGTCAGTAAAATTTACTCGCACAATTAATCAGATAGTTGAGTAATTTTTTTCTGTGCAAGGCATGGTTCTAAGATAAGAACAATATTGATGATAAGTATACAGCATTACCTCGTTTATTTTGAAATAAAAAAACAATTAAAATTAAGATTACGAATCACATATTATTAATGAATTTTGTTACATTCTTTCGATAAAACAAAAAGTTACTATTAACGAATAAGTAGAACTTTAAAAGTGAACGTCAGTTTTGATGCTTAATACTCACCTATATCACTTTCGAGAGTCATGCAAAGCTTTGGAAGTTTAACATAACCTATATTGTGAAATTTTGATCTAAGTCATCGATGTAGGTTTGTTTATTCAAACAAGCTTTGCCTCGATCGAACGTCAAAAAAGAAATCAATATCTGCAGTTTATTTTTTATTTTGTTTAACTAATACACTCAAAGTATTAACTTTGATATAATAAAAAAAAAAAATAACCAAACAAACAACAGACCAATTTCTATTTTATCAAGTTGGACTTATGTAAAACATTGCGATATCAATTTAATATTTACCAGTTAGCTAGAGACTTGCCTTGATAGATTATAAACATTATGAAACTGAGTGATAAAATTTAATTCAATTGGATAAAATCTATATAAAATTACTATTGAGAGTAAATTGGTACACTACAATTTTATTTTCGTATATGAGACAATTTTTCAGGAAAAACTAGGGTTATCTAGGGTTATTCGGAGTTTTGTTTACCAATTTTACAATTTCGTAATGCGAAAATGAGAAGTGTCGTCTACCCACTTCCCTTGAATAAACAAACCCAAAACTAAATTCTGAAATTGTTGTACATTCGATTGATTTATAAAAATCAGAAGTTTTTTTTTTATTTTTTCATCAACAATGAATGATACTAATAACTAAAGTTCATTACTTGCTTTGGGAAAACTGCATTCTTCTTCGCACACGAAAAAACGAATTCTCTTTCACTTTTGCAGGTGCAATTTCGTGTTTTTCTTTTGTACACGTAGTTTCTTTCACTTCTTAATGCATTGTACTTGAGGAGAGAAACGTAAGTAGTTGAGATAAGAAAGAGGAAAAAGGTAGAATATAAGTCGAGTTTTCTTCTATCTTCTTTTTTTTTGTACGAGACTTGCGGGAGGTACACAAGGGACGAGGGAGGCGGGAATGGACTATTAGTTAGCGGAGAATCAATAATTAATCTCTGCAGCATACCGCTAATTCGTGCATAAAAGACCGCGTCTCAAAGTGAGTTATATACGGTATATAGAAAAGGATCGTAGTAAATATATAGGCTCTAGCTCCAAAGGAGCCCGTGCAATTATTAATTGAAATTTTAGTAACCCCGGGTCTGCTGTTTACACGCACTGCATAATGCCGCGTGTATTTTACACCTTTGAGGTAGAGATAATTATTTTGCACTATCAGCGCGTGCATAAAAATGATTCCATTAACTTTTTTGTTTTTTAATTTAATCGATTATTTACGTTGACGTTTCGTTCGTTCCGTCTTGTATACCGGTATTATATTTAAGCGAAAAGACGTTACAAAAAAGCATACATCGCAATATATATATCGCGGACGCATAGTATCAGTATTACAGTTTTATCGGCATACGGTAAATCTTAAACGGCGAAACATACTACTGCTAGAATTGTATAATCGCGCACGCACGCACACACACTTGGTATCGCTGCGAAACGAACGGTTTTGACAAGAGCGTGGCTGCGAATCGGCCACGGCTCGATTACCAAAATGATTTACTCTATATATAAGACATTCGATAAAAGGGTTCAAGCGGGGGCCAAGCGAGAAAGAGAGTCAATAAAAGAAGGAACATTTTACGTCGCGCGTGCTACGGTCGAATGCGCGTAATATCGCCCCGGCCTCGGATGTTGTTGCCGCCGCGGGCTCATAATTCGCCACATCGAGTTACACGCGCTCTCGTAACGGGCCCCGTGTGCCACGTGGCGATCCTCGCACGCGCGCGTGTCGCCCTACATTCTCACCTGCGTGGCGCACGAGTCTTATTACAATTATTTGTTATCGTCATTATTATTATTGTCTTTGTTTTGCCGTGGGCTTCCTTGCGGGGCCGATGCACCGAAGCTCGAGCCACGCGAGTATCGTGGGTAAAAACGTGCAAGTGTACCGAAGATCAACGTGATATACATCCTGTACGATATGCGTGTGTATATATGTATATACACCGCCGCCCTCTCGGCTCCCCGGCACACTGTATCCACCCGCGCTCTATAGTAGCGTTTATACAGCACAGTGAGAGAGAGAGAGAGAGAGAGAGCCGAAACACGGGTGTTCGATGCAATCGATCGTCCGCCGCCGCCACCGCCACCTCCTCAAAGTCGCGCGCCGCTGCTGACTGGCATTAAGGGGTCAGCGACATTTTATCATTCGTTCGTCTTTGCGCTGCCGAAGTCGATGACTGCAGCTGCTGCTGCTGCTGCTGCTACTACTCTCGCTTGTTCCTCGAGAGCTGCGATTCTCGTCTCCTTTTTTGACACTCGGGCCTCGCAGCGGCGGGCGGTACGCTTTACATATACGGGAATCGCTTTAATCGAATCGAACATATTTCAGTCGCACCGATATGCTGCGCTGGCCATCGTCGCTCGGTGCATATGCTTATACTCTCGATTCTCGAGAGCCGCGCGCGGTAAATATCTGCCAAACGCGCGCGGGCGACATATAAGCCACTAATACGGACTTATCTCTCCGTCTCTCACACGATCGCTGTGCTCAAGAGCCACCAATATTAGAGTGCACGCGAGACTCGAGTCCGGCAAGCAGCGCGCCCCGCTCGAGAGAGAGAGAGAGAGAAAGAATATAAATCAAAACTTTGTGCACTGTAAGCTCGCAAGCTGCTGTATAATAATGTATATTGAATTTATGTATACACATTGCTCGCCGCTCGCTTTAAAGTGCGAATAAGCGCGTTCGTGTATTACTGTATACATTTTTTATACCGACTAGTTGCTCATTATTATATAGATTAGGCTCGAGCCACTTGACGGCTAAAAACACCTGTAGACTCGATAACTTAGATTGTATACGCGTGCAGGAAAAATCGCATTCTGTAAAATATGCCGCTGCTGTTGTCGCTTCGTACTGTGGCTGTGCAGTTTTTTTGCGTATATACTTAATTTTATTACAGTAAAACGACGACAACGACTGAGCTTTCGCAGATCGCGTCGATCCATTTTTCATTTTATCACCGTGCCAATTCGTGCAAACAGCAATTTTGCTCTCTTACTCCACTCTGCTTCTTCGGTCACTCGTGCACTTGATCTTGAACGCGTTTGCCAAAATATATATTTTTTCTCCGCCCGTTGCTAATTCTGCGGCGCCGCGGTCGATTCGTCCTTTAACTTCATTTTACCCAGTTAATAGAGCTTTTACTTACTGGCTTGAAATATTAGCGTTCGCTCTCTATTATACGTCGTAAAACGTCTCTTTTTCATAAACGAGCAATAAAGCTTCATTTGAACAATTGCAAAAGTAAAATGTTATTTTTAATGCGTTTCGTGTAAATAAACTGCTCGTTAGTTTCGGCCCGGAAAAGTAAACTTTTTTTAAACTCACATTCAACCCCGAGTAAAATGTATACTTAGCCAAGCTGATTGCTGGTAACCAAAGTCGTATATTTTGGATTTTTTTCTACACTGCTCAGTAGTACGCAGGCTCACGACTCATGTAAACCAAGTAACGAGGGTTTTTTTTTTTCGTAAGAGCAGGTGCACGTGCACGAGTTCGATCAATGAAGCGAACAAATGCACAAAACAAACATCTGCGAAAATTCACAAGCACACGCAGACGTTAGAGCCAAAAACGACGACGACTACGGACGTTACTCTTTTTTTTTACCTCACTAACAAGAAAATTTGAAAGAATGACCCATCGAATCCATAATTAGAACTAACGACGCAGTAACGCTGGGTACAGTAATGTAGAAAACTGTGGCTTTTTTTGTGAAAAGTTTCAGACCTCGTAAAGCTGCCTGCCTCGCAATTGAAGAATGGTCCGCAATTTGTATTAATCGAAAATAACTTTGCTCTCTCTAAGATCGACGAAAAACGTGAACGTGGAGTTTCTTTGCTCATAAGCTCAAACGGACCGATTGACTTCCCGCCTCGCGAGAGATCCAAAAACACACAAATAAAGCCACGAGCGTTTGACGCGTTTATGTACTCAAAATAGGAAAATCTAACGTCCTCAAATAGATTAT